CATGTTCGAGCTCCCCTTGGATCTAGCGGACGGCGGGGCCACAAAATATTTCTCTGGAACGACCACCGGCCTTCTCGATTGGATGCCTCGTGGGCCTAAAATCGACCGAAAAAAGTGCGGCCCAACTAATATTTGGTCGATCGCTCGTTCTCGGACGTCGGAAGCTACCAGCCCAGCCCATACCGACCTGGTTCGTTCCTCTCCCCTGCCGGCCGACGATCCCACCCCTGTGGCACGGCACCGCCGCGATGTCGTCGCCGGCAGCGACCGCGCCGTCCTCCTCGGGCGCGACGCAGCCCCAGCCCCAGCCCCGGCCCACGGAGCAGCAGGGAGGCTCGAGGGAGCGGCGGATGGAGTCGCTGGGGTGGCTGACGGAGTCAGCGGTGATGCCGAAGAAGCACAAGGCCATCGAGGGCGTCGGCGCCGCCTCCATCCTCGACCTCAAGGCCCAGCTCTACCGCACCCAGGAGGAGGCCCGGAACCCCACCGCCCCCGGCGCCGTCGCGGCCGCTGCTTCTGGTGGGGAGTTCCGCCGCGCAAAGATACGCTCCGCACCCACCGACCCCCTCGGGGCCAAGAACTCCGGCGTTGAATCCCGGGCTCACAAGTATGTTTCGTTAGCTCTTTGTATCGATTTGCAGTCAGTTGGTGCAGATGTACCTTGACTATTTGATTGTAGTTTTGGGTTGAATTGATTAACCTGTGGCGTGCCCTTGATTTAGGAATTCGATGCCCTAGACTAGATGGTATTATGAGAGCTTTGGTAAAGATGGGGAACAAATAGCTCCTTTCACGATTAAAACATATCCCTAATTTATATCTGTGATGTGAGGACTTTCGAACCGCCAAAAACAATAGTTGGTTGCATTTCGCAGTTTTTGCTTACCAAAGATTTTTTATGTAGCCTATGTACAAAACTAAGAAAATAAGTATTTCTTCATATCAGTATTATATGTTACCTTGTAAACTTGTCTACTCCAATAGGATGGTCGAGGACTAATTATCCCTGATCACTCTGCAACATGATGATTTCAGGGAATGTGATTCACATTGTTTATTGAATGAGAAGTGAACACCTTTTAAGCATTTTCTTAGTAACAACCAACTCAAAAGAAAACAATGGAGCTGTTGTCAATGCTTATCCCAAACCACAGTCCAGTTTTTCTCTGGCAGTTTAGAATTTAAACTAACAAGAGATAGCATGAAGTACCTTTTCTTATATATAGAAAAAGAAATCTGATGTTGTTCTCTTCAGTTAACTGCTACCCTGGCCACAATTTTCTGTTACTTCACAGTTTAAGTATTTCCATTCCACATGAGTTGTGTTGTTTTTTTACTCTTTATACAGCATTTCCAGTTGCCATGGTTTCAATGTGTCTTCTGTTTTCAGCCTCACGCAGCCATAAGTCCTTTTTTCATGCTGTTGAGTTTTGAGTATTGACCAGAACTAAATGCGTCCTCTGTCATTGCACTTTGGGCACAGGGATAAGCTGGAGCTTAAAGCCGTGAAAGACGGTTCTGCGAGCTATGCTGCTCTAGAAAAGAAAGCAGAGTTGTATGAAAAATTATCCAGAGGTGAGCTACCTGATGAAGAAGACAAAGAGAAATACTGTGTGGATTTCTTCCAAAAAAGTTTCGATCGTGTCTATGAGCCTCAGATGTCAGAGAGTAGCCACAGAGCCACTGATGATGCAGAGGCAGTAAATGATCATGAAGATTCTATGCCTAATGCGAAACCGTTGGGCCTTGGCCGAGCAGGTACTACAATCGACAGAGATGAGCACAAGCGCTTTGTGAGGTACTGTTTTCTATGGGCACTGTCTGCGCTGACTCTTATCAAGTTATTTTGCATGAAGCACTTTTATTTTGCCCTTTATTATTTTATAGATGTAGAAATCAAAGTAATTTAGCTTTCTCTAGGACAGGTGAAGAATGAAATAAAAAATGGTACTATATTCCTAGCACCTGAGCATTTAGTGCATAGGCAGACAGCACGATGAATATGAATTGAGCTTTCATCATGAGCTATTGAGATTTTAGGTGTTGGGTTATTGTATACTAGTATGTTATGTGCAGCCCATTAGGGCACATGATACGGAGCAGCCCTAGTCTATAACAGGGCTAGCACATTTTTCATGCCGTGAGGTACTGTTCATGGTGTTCTTAGGATTAAATTTGTTATTTAAAGATAAGATTAGATTTAGTTGGTTCCTTGATTTAGGGATTGGTTTCTTAAAAGTCGAGTCACCCCATCCATATGAAGATGGGACTGTGGTTAATCAAGAAATATATGTAGACTTTATATCTCCCTCTCTATCCATGTCCTTGTGGTGCAGCTGCTGGGGATTGGCATAGTTTCACTGCTTGGGTTAAGGGCCATCTAAGTTATGTGCCCTTGGCATACTAACTTTTCTGTTCAGTCACTTCAGATTGATTTATTAGATACCTGGTTTGAAATCTCAAGCCAAAAAAAACATGCATATCTATTGTTTGGTACTTATATCAGTTTCAGACAATATTTGTGACACGGTGAGATCACTGAACAGTGAACTTCATTGCCACTAGTGATATCAATATATCACTGAACCTCTTGATTTCAACACATTTTTCCTCTCTTTGTAATATACTATTGAACTTCTCGACTTCAACACCTTGATTTCTCTTGCAATATTATGTGCCCACTTATTAGTTTCTACAATGTCACAATGATGTGTGGTGACCTTTTGATTGACTTTCACGCTGCAGGGAAGTTCATGAGGAAGTAACTGAGGCAAGGCAGAAGGCTTCAACAGTAAGATCTCGACGACAAGAACAGGATGCTGCTCGTAGAGAGAAACTCAGGCAAGCTTACCTGAAGAAACGGTTGGAGAAGTTGATTGCCGAAAAACAGGCCTCTTCAGCTAGTGATGACCTACCCAGCTAGCTAGTATATGTGCTTGCATGTTCTTCCCAAGTAGCAGTCTAGCAGCTGTAATAGTCTGTGTTTTCATGCAATCATGGAACGGTTACTGTAAGTCTCTTTTGGTCCAGTACAGTCAAATTCAGGAAATAGCGTTTGCAAGTACAGTTGGTGTTGCAGAATATTGTCCGCAAATCTAGGCAATGGCATCATGATTTTCCGAGACATTCGCTAGACCATCAATCCATATTTCTTCAGCTTTATTCCCCGTCCCGTTCGCATCGCTGAAAAAAACAAGCCGAAACACTAATCCGGCTGATTTGTTGTGAGAAAAAAACACTTTTTCCAGCTGAAAGTATGGATTATAAGAGAACCGAACAGGTATATGTTTGGCTATTGTAGAGGATATATTCCCGTTGTGTTTGGGGTGTCTCCATTTTAGATGGATGTTGTAGGCTCGCATAGTTGTCTTGGTTCTAGTCGTCTGAAAGTTGAAAATAACTCGCAGACGAGTGGAGAAAGAAGCAGGTTCTGTATTCCCTTGATTGGATAAAAAGTTCATTCGCCCTTTCTGTGATTCTTCTCCAACTTGCTCAAAGCAATTCTTGATGGACTGCATGTCATGCCGCCTCCAAACTATTCCTCTTCGCTATTAAAGCCGAGAAGCAAAAACCGCGGACCGCGACGGCGCGACCTCACCGGAAAACAATGGCCAATGCACTGCCAGGCCAGAAAGCCGGCGAGGTCACGGCGACGCCGAATCCGTTCGAGTTCCATGTGTACGGCCCGCGACACCTGTCGTCCCCCAGCTGGTGGGATCTCCTCCGTTCAAGCTGGTCAGTTGCTCTCACGGTCTCACCTTCGTTTCTGCGAAGCGCACAACAAAAGCTCCGTGTCACTCTTTGCCTTGGGTTTTCTCAGGAAGGATCCCAACTACCGGCGCATGGTGATCGCGTGCTTCATCCAGGGGGTGTACCTGCTGGAGCTGGACCGGCAGGACAAGCGCGACGAGCGCACCGGCCTCGCGCCGCAGTGGTGGCGCCACTTCATGTACAGGCTCTCCCAGACACTCATCGACGAGCGCGACGGCTCCATCTACGGCGCCGTGCTCGAATGGGACCGCCGGGCCTTGCTAGCTGGCTACGCGCCGTTCCGCCCCGCCGGCGCGCCGGCCGCCGTCGTCGCGCTCCGCGGCACGCTGCTGAGTGGGGCCACGTTCCGGCGCGACGTCGTGGACGACCTCCGGTTCCTGGCCTGGGACAGCCTCAAGGGCTCCGTGCGGTTCGCCGGCGCGCTGGCCGCGCTGCGGTCCGCGGCGCGCAGGCACGGCGCGGGGAGCGTGTGCGTGGGCGGGCACTCGCTGGGCGCCGGGTTCGCGCTCCAGGTGGGCAAAGCGCTGGCCAAGGAAGGCGTGTTCGTGGAGTGCCACGTGTTCAACCCGCCGTCCGTGTCGCTGGCTACCAGCCTCAGGGGCTTCGCGGAGACGGCCGGCGAGATGTGGGGCCGCGTGCGCGCGTGGCTGCCCTACGTGGGCTCAGCAGCCGCCGCGGCGGACGCGAGCGGCGAGGCCAAGGAAGTGACGCTGGAACGCGCGGGGACGGCCAAGTGGCTGCCGCACCTGTACATCAACACCAACGACTACATCTGCTGCTACTACACCGACGCGGCGGCCCGGACGGCGACCGTGACGGCGAGAGGAGGAGGAGCGGGAGCAGTAAGGCTGGAGGGACGGTGGCATGGGCAAGCCGGGGCTGGCGAGGATGGTGACGGTGTCCAAGGGGCCGACCAAGTTCCTCGATGCGCACGGGCTGCAGCAGTGGTGGGCTGACGATGTGGAGCTGCAGGTGGCGCTCAACCACAGCAAATTCATCGACCGCCAGCTCAGGTCGCTCTATGCCGCGCAGGCGCAGCCGGTCTCGCCGCAAGTGAGCCTGTAGGCTGTGTGCCTGTGTAGTTGTGTAGCAGCTGAGAAATAAAAAAGCAACGCCGCCACTGCGGTTAGTCTGAATGTGTGATGCTGTTGATGGATCGGTCATTGGTACGTGATGCTCCGCTGAGCACACGGATGATGAGCGTTCCCAAATCCCAGGTCGATGTGAAAAATTTCGGATTCAAAACACAACACAATGGTTGTGGCAAATTTTAGTGAAAAGTTTCGTATCTCAGTTTATAAGATTCTATGTGTTGGGAACAATGTAGATGGGTTTTATCTCTACGAAACTTATTTCATTCCATGAAACTTTCGTCAATTATTTCCTCATCTATTACATGTCATGTTAGCCTATTTAATACCATGAAACTTCCATTGAGACTCGACTAAATTTCATTCAAGCGCGCACGGTGCACAAAAGTAAAGTAAAGCCTGCGCTGATGTTTTGGGGAATGTAAATGGAGGATGAACATTGACTGGAGCCAAGCCAAAATATAGTAGTAGAAGGGAATTCAAATGGAGGATGAACATTGAAGGGAGACATGCCAAGATATAGTAGATAAAATGGGATTGCAAATGGAGGATGAACATGAACGAAAAGAAGAAATGGTGAATAAAAAAACGACTCCGTTGGGTATCATGCCAAAATACAGTAGAAAAAATAGGATTGTGAATGGAGGATGAACATTGGACGGAAAGAAGATATGGTGGATAAAAGTAGAAATGATGGGATTGTAAATGGAAGATGAACACTGAAAGACTCCGCGGGGGATCACGCCAAAATATAGTAGAAAAAATAGTATTGTGAATGGAGGATGAACATTGAACAAAAAGAAGAAATGGTGATAAAAGTAGAAAAAATGGGTTTGTGAATGCGGGATGAACGACATTGAACTAAAAGAAGAAATGGTGAATAAAAGTTTTTTTTTTGAAGAGGGGGGAGGGGCGAAAAGTCCCCACCTGAATAATTTTCCACTGATACCGGCAAAGTCGGGAATGGAGGGTGCCGAGCACCTAATACAAGGGTGACCCTTCAGGTCAGAGTACATAACAAGTGTGAGAGAGAAGGATTACAACACTTAGAACAACATGATTCAGCTACTAGCTCAGCCTACTAACCGGAGCGAGTGCAACACTACTTTCTAACATATGCCACCACCGATGATAGACTCTGAAGAACTCAAAATCACATGCAGCTGTAAGGTATTGAGTGGGATCCAATAGACGACACTGTAAGGCATTGAGTCGGAGCCAACAGGCGGCAATTGTGAGTTGCATCGCCTATGAACGCATCTGGGTTCCAACTGACACCCACCAATGCCATTTGGGGGAAGAAAACATCAAAGGGGGGGATCGTCAGAAGGAAAACGAGGAGATCCAGAGAAGGAGATCAAGGTCCCCGCAACCCAGCATATGATGAGGCGAAGCGCTCAAGTGATCTGGAGGACGACAGAGCAAGCCGTTGACAGCGAGCACCTGCTAGCAAGTGGTGGGTGCAAAAGCCAAGGGTAGCAGGGTAGCCAGACAAAAACACAATGGGGTGGGAGAGCAACCGAAGAGAGCACCAGGGTACGGCGAGCGCGGAAGGAAGTAGACCTGCTTGTATCGATGCCTTCAAGAAGGAGAGTGACGTCCACAGACGCCACCATCGACAATCAGAGCACCACGCTCGAAGGGTTTTCACCCCGAAACCAACTCAGCTGACGCATAAACTCCAAGAGGCTTTTGCGATAACATGAATTGAAAACTTTAACGACGCCTCCAAGGAGGGGTATGACGCCATTTGCGCCATCGTCGCTGGTCTAGAACAACAACCAGACATGGTTTTCACCTATTGAAAAAATGGGATTGTAAATGGAGGATGAACACTGAACAAATCCGCTGGGGATGACACCAAAATATATTAGTAGAAAAAATGGGATTGCGAATGGAGGATGAACGATGAACGAAAAAGAAGAAATGGTAAATCTGAATAAAAAAATAAAGCGACTCCGCTGGGGATCGAACCCAGAATCTCTGGTTCCGTAGACCAGCGCCTTATCCATTGGGCCACGGAGTCGTTGTTGAAGCAGTTCATTGACTCGTTTAAATGGTCCATGCAAACCCATCATACCAATTTAGCACATGCGACACAGCAGCTCAGATTTCTGGATAAATGAATTCGATATAAGTGTGCTTCGTATCAATATCTGGTAGTCTAAGTAGTAGATTTGACAGTAGAGATGTCATTTGATTTACCTGTGATAAATTATTGCTTGGAGGACATTATTATACACAATCATACATACAACTTCATATTAAGCAATTTAACGAGCAGTTAGCATGAAACACAAATTATGTCCAGATGAGAACCACCGGTAATAGACTCGGTGTCATCCAAATACGTCAGTCAACCTCAACTACAGAAGATACATATCTGCATGAGCTGATGGTTCCAACTAGTAGTATCTAAAGATTCCATTACAAATCACAGCTCCATAATATACAGTTGATTGATTCATCCAGATACGGCGAACCATCAGGAATTTGGAACACATAAATATTCAGCTAATCAGCTCGTCGTAATCTGATTCCTCAGACATTTCTCTGCTTTCCTGCATGAGAATATGAACGAGGATTATGCTTTCACCCATACGAAAACAGGGGCTAGGGAGACTATCCAAGAGGGGGGAAAGTATAATATACACCTTTTTCTTGTTATATTCAATCATCGCCTTCTCAAATTCTGCACGTTTCTCAGTAGCTATATCATAATACTTGACCTTTTCCTGTGAAATGAATTAAGTGAAAACTATTGTTTTCTAGAAGTCAAATTTCATAACCATATGAATTAAGTGAAAACTATGATCTTTACTGACAGGCTTTGTTGTTGTTGTTGTATATAGAAGGCAGAAGCACTCAGTATTTGTAATTTTAAAGAATCCATAGTTTATCTTTATATTCGCAGAAATCCTACTATTTTCGTTTTTCCAGTCATTTGCTAGCATGCACAGTAAGAGTAGCTAGAATGGCCTGTGGGCACCAAACCAAGGTTGAGTGAGATGTATTATACAGAAAATAGGGGTGAACATCCCGGTTTGTTCCAAAACGGCTG